TGGAAAATAAAGTAATGAGAAAGTGTTGGTTTCTAATATATGTAATTCCTTTCTGCTTGCGAGTAAACAGTATTTCTTGTTGTTTCTTTGTCAGTGTTGATGTGGAGAGTGTCTGGTTTGTCTACTCTGGAATATGCAAGATATCATAGTCCTTCTTTAAGGGTCTCTTTCAAATCTATGATACTATATCTGTGTATGTGTGTGAGAATCATCTATCTATCTATCTATCTATCTATCTATCTATCTATCTATCTATCTATCTTATGACTGGATGGCTCTCTGTCAGGAGGGCTCTGATTATGTTTTCTTGCCCTGGTGAAGAGAGTTGGACTGGATGGCCTTAAGTATTTTCTGGTGGTCATGGGGGGAAGTTTGCCCCATTTCTGTCGTTTGTGGGTTTCAGAATGCTCTTTAATTGTAGTGAACTATAAATCCCAGTAACTACAAATCCCAAATGTCAAGGTCTACTTCCTCCAAACTCCATCTTTGGGCATATTGAGTATTTGTGCCAAATTTGTCCAGATCCATCATTGTTTGAGTCCACAGTGCTCTCTGGATGTAGGTGAACTACAACTCCCAAACTCAAGGTCAATGCCCACCAAACCCTTCCAGTGTTTTCTGTTGGTCATGGGAGTTCTGTGTGCCAAGTTTGGTTCAATTCTATCATTGGTGGAGTTCAGAATGCTTTTTGATTGTAGGTGAACTATAAATCCCAGCAACTACAAATCCCAAATGTCAAGGTCTATTTCCCTTAAACTCCATCTGTGTCATATTTGGGCATATGGAATATTCGTGCCAAGTTTGGTCCAGATCCGTCATTGTTTGAGTCCACAGTGCTCTCTGGATGTAGGTGAACTACAACTCCCAAACTCAAGGTCAATGCCCAGCAAACCATTCCAGTTTGTTCTTGGTCATGGGAGCCCTGTGTGCTAAGTTTGGCCCAATTCCATCATTGGTGGAGTTCAGAATGCTCTTTGATTGTAGGTGAACTATAAATCCCAGCAACGACAATTCCCAAATGACAAAATCAATTTTTTTTTAGTGGAGGACATACATTGGGTTGTTAGGTGTCTTGTGTCCAAATTTGGTGTCAATTCCCCCAGTGGTTTTTGAGTTCTGTGAATATCACAAACATTACATATCAGATATTTACATTATGTATTGTCGAAGGCTTTCATGGCTGGAATCACTAGGTTCTTGTGGGTTTTTCGGGCTATATAGCCATGTTCTAGAGGCATTTCTCCTGACGTTTCGCCTGCATCTATGCAAGCATCCTCAGAGGTAGTGAAGTGGACCTCTGAGGATGCTTGCCATAGATGCAGGCGAAACGTCAGGAGAGAATGCCTCTAGAACATGGCCTTACAGCCCGAAAAAACCCACAAGAACATCATGGTATGGTTTGTGCATCTATTTACCAGTCATCATAATAACTAGTATATACAAAATAGCCTTAACAGTGAAAATAAAACCTTTGTGTTTAAAGCTGGAATATTTTTATATCTTTCCTTGAATTATTCCATTGTTTTGTTCCACTCGACAGCTGAAAAGACTCCCAGAGTGGCATATCCTAAGATCAATAATATGCAAGCTGGTCTCTGCCCTAAGGTTTATAGTGCCTAAAACTAATTTTAATGGTCTTGTTAAAAAAATGCAAAATTCACCTAAAAGGCGAGTTACAAATGGCTTGTTTTCTTTGAGCTTCCTTGTGTCTCCATTGTTCTCCTTTACCTGCCTGGGACTCATCTACCTTCTCCAAATGGTGGTCTCGTTCACACAAAGTGAATGAAGCCAAAATTAATCTAAAATGTTAAAGGATGCGTACCTTCATTTTGCTCTGCTGTAAATAGAAGAGGCATTGGTTGGCAGAGGCTTCTTGGGTGATTTGACAGAATGATTGGCACGGAGGCACCACATGGAGACAGGTTGGGCAAAGGGAGAAAGTGACAGTTTGGGCACCTCTTTTCCAACACAATTAGTGAGGTTGCCTTCAGCAATTTCTCAATTGCACCTTAAGAGTTTCCCCCCTTGTCAGTATCAAGCTTAACATCTAATTGCACTTATCTGTGCTGAAAATTGGCCATTACCGCTACTTAAACTCCCACTAATTGTAAGACATACTTCCTTAGCAAACGGTTAGGTGATTGTACTGGTAATCTAAACCAGATCGGCTCCACTGCCTTCTCCTGTTTCACTGAACACCTTATTTTTCATCCTGTCGGCCCGTTGCAGGGGTGAGCAAAGTAGTGACTGTGGACATCAAGGGGAATTGGCAGCGCTGGCTAAAGGTCCGGGACCTCACCAAGGGAATGACCTACTTGTTCCGGGTCCAGGCCAAGACCATCACCTATGGGCCTGAACTGCAAGCCAACATCACAGCGGGGCCAGCAGAGGGTAAGTGGGGATGCGCAGGACTTGCCAAAACGGCATCCAACACGGCGGAGTCGATGGCATTAACTCAGCACCCAACAGCAAACTGAAATATTCCAAATGCATTCTCAAGCCAAGAGAGAATTAAGTCTGAACTCATGATTTAGTGGCATCGGTGTCGAATGCCAGGTGCTTCTGCATCTGAGACAGTCTATAAACCCAGGGTCACAGTTATATGCTCAGCTATCCAAGAGAGACACAGTAGATAGCTAGGGTGGCCCAATGTAAAAGGAGTAATGCAAATGTAAACTTAAAGGAATGCACTTATGGATAGTTTAGTTGCTTCTTTTTGATGGTATTAATTTATGGTGCCTTTTAGATTTCCTCCTAGTCTCCTCAAAACAAACTTGGAGTCCTATCTTTGTATAAACTGGGCCAATTTAAATACTCCATGTCTCTTTCACCTGCAGCCCTCCAGGTGTTTGTGCCTTCAACTCCCAGAAGCCCGAGCCAGCTTGTTCAATAGTCAGGAATTCTGGGAGCTGAAGTCCAAGACACCTGGAGGGTTGCAGGTTGAAGAGGACTGAGTCATATTCCATACATTATTCTAGTTTGGGGGAGAAATATTCCCACTGACACTCCAGTTCATAATCCCATTGCAACTTGTCTTACTCCTTAGTAGACGATTCCTAACTTGGATAGGAACACCCAGTTCCTATCCAATTTTGAGCTGAAATATCCAGATAGAGTCCTCTGCCTTTTTCTAAATGAAACAGGTTCTTGAGAAGCTCTGTTTCACTAGTACTTCATTTCAGATCTGCAAGGAATTTCTATCAATATCCATTGTTCTGTCACACGCTGGGCCTGTAAAGAATTTCCTTTAGAACAGGACATGCAGCCTTTGCCCAGCAGGAAGCCAGGAGGCCCAAGGAGTTCTGAGAGGTTTTCCACCACAAATGACTTTTAGATGGCTTGTGAAGTATAACAAAGTCTTTTATTAATGAACAATCAAACAGAAACTTCTCTTGTCTTCACTAAAGTCGTAGTGTTACTGTTATTGTTTATTGCTTTGTTTATGAGTTTATTTATTGTCTGTATTGCTGTGTTGTTTTTATTGATGTATTTGGGCTCGGCCTCTTGTAAGCTGCACCGAGTCCTCTGGGAGATGGTAGTGGGGTATAAATAAAGGATTATTATTATTATTATTAGTGGATGCCAGTCATAGTCAAAGTAGAGGTGGCATTAAATATGCTGCCCTCAATCTTGTGTTTATAAGATTCTTTTCAAATGGCAATTGGGAGAGAAGTCACCCGTATTGGATCTGCAGTTTGGGAACAGCAGGAGGTTAATCCTGTTCTCACTCATGCCATTGACCCATTGAAAACCAGTCTCCCCCGAAGCCTGTGTGATCTTCTCCTCCCTGCACGACAGCTTTGGTTGAGATCTCTTCCAACATGGCTGCTATCCCACCATGTAATTGGGAACATGTCCACAACTGTATGTTTGATATAAAATTAAGTTTAGCTCTTGTGGGAGATGATAGCTGAATTGATGGGATAAGAGTCATAGCAACATCTGATCGAGATGCTAAGAGCAGCAGGAGCTTTGGAGCCAAACAAGCAGCAGGGTCTAGCAGGACACGGATGGGCAGGGGTCCTGATAACAATCCTTGCAAAATGCATATAGTTGGCTTCCTCCTGTGAAGCCAAGCTTGCTTCAAAGAAGACATTTTTCCTGTCTTCTTAGTGGCGTAGTGGGAGGAATCAGCATGTTGGGTGTATATTACCAAGTAGTTTTCCTAAAGGATCCTTTGAAGCAGTAAGGTACCTCTGGCATGTTCCACCTTCCGTGGTTCAGGCACTCAGCTTAATCTGAAACTGGGGTGGGGTGGGGGTGCATCTTTTTCAAAGGACACCGCACTTTGCCGGGGGCTTGCTGGTTTCTGCTCTCTTTTCTCCAAAGTAATTAGAGAGCGTAGTATGAGTAATGGCTGCTTTCATGCTGACCTCTCCTTCGCTCTTTTTGGCCCTCCTTCCCGCAGGATCGCCCGGTTCCCCTCAGCATGTTCTGGTTTCGAAAACAGCCTCTGGACTGACTTTGTACTGGACAGAAGGGATCTCTGGAGAGAAGCCCACCACCGGCTACATCATAGAAACCAGACCTTCAGGTAACCCGTTGCTGAAGAAAAATATGAGCTGACCCAGAAAATGTTATAGTAAGAGAATTGACAGAGTACAGATTGAAAGATCTGGCAAAGGAGAAGCGGGACGGGTATCATTTATTCTCGAAACATTGAAGTAATAGAAAGATCTGGCAAAGACAGGAAAATCTCCTTTTACTTTTCAACTTTTACAAGTTGAACATGAGCCAAGAGTGTGATGCAGCAGCTAGGAAAGCCAGTGGGATTTTGGGCTGCATCAAAAGGAGTCTAGTGTCTAGATTGAGGGAAGTCATGGTGCCTCTGCTTTGGTTAGACCTCACCTGGAATTCTGTGTCCGATTCTGGGCACCACGGTTCAATTCTGTGTCCGATTCTGGGCACCACAGCATGCCAGCAGGTTGAGGGTGAACCCAGCAAAGACGGAGATCCTTTCGCTGGGCCTCCTGGGTGGGAGGGAGATCCAGCTGCCTACCCTGGATGGCGAGACACTACGTCTGTCACCTTCTGTAAAAAGTCTTGGTGTCTTATTGGACCCTCTGCTCACAATGGAGGCCCAGGTCTCTGCTGTGAGCAGATCTGCGTTTTTCCATCTGCGTCAGGCTAGGCGACTGGCTCCCTATGATCAAGGTTTTCCTCGATTCCACCTACCTATCTAGGAACGACCTGGCTATGGTGATCCAGGCGACGGTCATCTCGAGGCTTGACTACTGTAACACCCTCTACATTGGCCTTCCTTTGCCAGTGATCCGGAAACTGAAGCTGGTGCAAAATGCGGTGGCTCGTCTTCTTGCCGGGGTGCTGGCGAAGTGTCGTATGACCCCAATTCTACAACAGCTGAACTGGCTACCGATTGAGTACCGGATTACTTTCAAGGTGCTGGTACTAACCTTTAAGGTCTTATATGGTCTGGGGCCGGCGTACCTGAGGGCCCGCTTATCCCCCTACCAACCCCAGAGATTACTTCGGTCCGAAGACCAAAATTTGCTTGAAGTCCCCAACATCCGGACTTATCATCTGTCCTCTACTAGGCAGAGAGCCTTCTCGATTGTAGCCCCTTATTTATGGAATGCCTTGCCAGTTGAAACCCGATCTATCCGAGACCTACTTGCTTTTCAGAAAGCCTGTAAAACCTTTCTCTTCCGACAAGCTTTTGATGGGTGAATAACTCGGGACTATGTCTGTTCTTGTTTTTATTGTATTTTAAAGTTAATTGTATTGTTTTAATCTACTGCTGTAAACCGCTCCGAGCCAAATTGGGAGTAGCGGTATACAAGTCAAATAAATAAATAAAAATAAATAAAAGAGAGATTGACAAGCTGGAAGGTGTCCAGAGGAGTGCAACTAAAAGAATCAAAGGTCTGAAGACCATGAATAATCCGTATGAGGAGAGTCTTAACAAGTTGGGTCTGTTTGGCCTGCGGAAGAGAAGGTTGAGAGGAGACATGAAAGCCATGGATAAATGGGCATCACAAGGACGAGGGAGCAGGCTTGTTTTCTGCTGCCCTGGAAACTAGGACTCAATGGAGCAATGAGTTCAAATGACAGGAAAGGAGATTACACCTAAACATGAGGAGGAACTTCCTGACTGTAGGAGCTATTCAGGAGTGGAACTCTCTGCCTCAGAGTCTGGTGGAAGCTCCTTCCTTGGAAGCTTTTAAACAGAGGCTGGATGGCCATCTGTCAGGGGTACTTGGATTGTGCTTTTCCTGCATGGCAGGGGATTGGGCTTGATAGCCCAGGTGGTCTCTTCCAACTCTATTATTCTGTTGTTTATTTCTGTTACCTCCTGGACAAGTCCACACTACAGCTCCCTGTTAGCTGTGGCCACCCCCAGCTCTTTCAAGGTCAAGCCAGTCTGTTCAGTTGCGCTCTGGGCCTGTAAATAATTGTCTTTAAGCAGGACTGCGACTTTAGCCCAGTGAGAAGCCAGGGCTCCCCAAAGAGAAGTTCTCAGAGCTTTTCCACCACAAATGATTTTTAGATGGCTTGTGAAGTATAACAAAGTCTTTTATTAATAACAATCAAACAGAAACTTCTCTTGGCTTCAATAAAGCTAAACAAATGCTTCCAGGCTTTATGCAACTGGTGACTTCCTAATCTTGCCCATGAAGGACAGGAAACTGTCTTCAATAACTGATTCTTTACTTTAAAGGAAAATCCCCTTTTTAACTTCTCCCAGGCTGACTGTAATCTAATCCTTACTGATGTGGGCTCTGCTACTGGGTCGAACTGCTTCTCAGGCACCGAGTGGACCTACCATTAAAGGCTTGGATATTCTCCAGCTGGAGATATCTGTTACCCTCCGAAATTCTTCAAAGCTTTAGGGCTGTTTCCCTGGAGATTTTAGAATCTTTGAAAGCTCTTAAGACTGTTCTCCCCCAGAAAGTCTTAAGGATTGAAGCTTTGTACAGGAGAAGCTTGTACACGTCCTCTAAATTAACTTTCCTTACTGAGACTAACTAAAAATGGCTCCCTTCCCTTCCCAATTGCCCTGAGCAAGGGGCGGAACCAAAACTTAACGATGATGGACAGGTGATTTGCCCTATGACTGCAACCAAAGGAAGCCACCTATCTGCAGAGTCCCTGAAACCTAGGACTGCAAGCAAACATTTAATACAAAGCAAATAAAATTGGAGCTCCTGGTACAGCTGTACCAGCGCACAGTAATTTCAAATATACCATCTTTCCCTTGGTCGGACCCTCTTCCTTTTTCCTTCCATTTCCCCTCAGCATCATTCTGTTCTCCAAGGTATCCTGTCTACTCATTATGTGGCCAATGTATTTCATCTTTGCCTTTAATATCATTCTTTCCAATGAGCAGTTGGGTTTTGCTTCAGAGATTGTGTGTGGAAAGGAAACATTACTGATGACGTTTTGGCATTAATATTACAGCTATTTTTGAGTTTTGAATGGCGCAATAAGGACTCCAAGACCAGGCTTTGAATTGTTGCTCTTTGAGTCTATTATTCTGTGATTCCATTTTCTGAATAGAAAACATAGCCAGGGACTTTGTACAAAATGTGCGCATAGTTATTCCATTCAGAAAACAGCCTTTTCTGTACAAAAACCGAATTGCAAATAGCCTTTGAATACTGCAGTTCTTGAAAACTGAATTGCTAAAAATTACTTTGAGAAGAAAACCAGTGAACAATTGCATGCCTGGTGTGTAAAAAGGAGGAAAGGAAAAGGACAATTTCCATCATCTGGGATGTCTAAAGACTCTCCTCTGGCATTTGCGCCTTGTATCAATGCAGTCACCCTTTTCTGGGCCTTGTCCATTGGCATGCCATGTGTTGGCTCATTGGGTGCGTGTTGAAACGGTCCCTCCAAGGAGGCTTTGTGCTGCTTTTGTGCAGACTGGCTCCAGTGGATCTGCAAACAATTATGGGGTGTGGAGGAGAGAGGGGAGCCCCTTGCTGCTCCCTCTTTTTTAGACCTAACAACAGAGTCGTTTAATTCCCACACAGATTATTTTAATCCTATTCATGCCCCTGTAATAAACGCAGGGGGCATTTGTGTGCTAGGATGCCTTTTCTTCATTTGGGTGGAATCTGTAGAGAGCGCGAAATGTGATCCAAGCAAAAGGGGAGGTTGGTAATTGGAACAGCGGATTATTTCATGCACCCGTTGCCTTCATTAAAACACTCTGTATCTTGCTTGGTTTTATTTTGCCAGCACTTTGGAGAGGGTTTCATTCTGGATTCAGAGCTTAGCTCTGAGGGGTATGCTCTTGCTGCTATCCCATGCCACTGTTTCCATCCACTGCTGTTTTCATCCACTGCTGGAAATGATGCAATTCCAACTTTCTGTTGGATGGGGATGTGTTTATGCTTCTCTAACTTTATGGAAGGCTAGTGGGTGGTGGAGGGCCAGGATGGTATACTTTACTTACTTACTTACTTACTTAGGTGATCCCTCATAGTCCGAGGATGATGGTCCTCCAAGTTCAGTGTCCTGGCGGTGGGTCCGTAGGTGACTGTGGAGCCCTATTCTTGATCTGCATCTTCTCCCGCAGTGAGGGCATTGGTTTCCAGGTGGAAGGTGGTCTCGGTTGGGGTTGGCTTGATGTGCCTTCCTCTTGGCATGTTTCTCTCTTTTGCCCTCCAATCGTGCCTCTTCAAATTCTACAGCACTGCTGGTCACAGCTGACCTCCAGCTGGAGTGCTCAAGGGCCAGGGCTTTCTAGTTCCTTCGGTGTCTATGCCAGAGTTTTTAAGGTTGGTTTTGAGCCCATCTTTAAATCTCTTTTCCTGTCCACCAACATTCCGTTTTCCATTCTTGAGTTCGGAGTAGAGCAACTGCTTTGGGAGACGGTGGTCGGGCATCCGGACAACATGGCCAGTCCAGCGGAGTTGATGGCGGAGGAACATCCCTTCAATGCTGGTGGTCTTTGTTTCTTCCAGCATGTTGACATTTGTCCACTTGTCTTCCCAAGAGATTTGCAGGATTTTTCGGAGGCAGCGCTGATGGAATCGTTCCAGGACTTGCATGTGACGTCTATGCTACTCTGCTGCTGAGTATGCATGCCCGGTGTGGGACACATCTCACCACGCTAAAACAGTGGATGTGGCTCTGAATGAGACATGCCGCATTATCACGGGGTGTCTGCGCCCTACACCACTGGAGAAATTACCCTGCTTAGCCAGTATTGCACCACCTGACATCCGTCGGGAAGTAGCAGCCAATAGTGAAAGGACCAAGGCAGAGACATCTCCAGCTCATCCCTGTTTGGGTATCAGCCAGCACGCCAATTCACGAAACAGATTCCTAAGATCTACAGCAGTGTTTCTTAACCTTCCTAATGCTGTGACCCCTTAATACAGTTCCTCATGTTGTGGTGACCCCCAACCATAAAGTTATTTTTGTTGCTACTTCATAACTGTAATTTTGCTACTGTTATGAATCATAATGTAAATATCTGATATGCAGGATGTATTTTCATTCACTGGACCAAATTTGGCACAAATACCCAATATGCCCAAATTTGAATACTGGTGAGGTTGGGGG